ATCAGGGAGGATCTCAGGGAGAAGCTTTTCCCACATTCTGAGCACTTGTGAGACTTCTCCCCAACCTGGAGCTGCTCATGGACCCCCAGCTCAGAGCTCCAGCTCCCTCCCTGGCCCAGGGTGGGTCTTTCCTCCTCAGATCCCGGTGATCTGCGTTTGCAGACCCTCCTCGTGAGAGATCTATGGGGCTTTTCTTTCCCTTTTGATGCATGTGCTTTGGAGCTGCACAAAACAACTTCCACAAGGTTCTGCTGTGGAACATGCAGACATGGGAATGGGTGGGTGAGACGGGGGTGACAGCAGGGAGAGGGGGATCCTGGACAGGGGACACTGGCAACCAGGACAGAGGGACATGGAGACAGTTCCAGGGCAGGGGGTCCTTGATCAGCTGCCCCACAACTTTCGCCAGGGTCTCCCCGCACTTCTGCAGCTACTGGGCCTGTTCTGCCCAAAGCCCTGAGCAACCCCTAAATCCCTCCCAGGAACCCTCACCTCCCTCAAACCCAGCATGGCCCCCATCCCCTGTAAGATCCCCCCATGTCCCCATCAATGGCTTATTTCAATGTCTTTATTTTTACCCCGGTTTTGGGTGTTTTGAAGGGACAAAGAGAAATGAAAGGAAAATCCAGGCCATGGGGTGCCAGGAGGATGTGAAGCCCACAGACCAGTGATTACCAAGATGGATCACTGGCACCAGGGATTGCCCGGGCTCTGCCCAGCGAGGGTCACTGGGGATCAGCCAGGGTGGATCCCTCTGTGGGGGATGGTGTTCGAGCAGTGCAGGAAGCTCTTCCTGCCCTCGGGGCACTCATGGGGCTGCCCTTAGTGATGGCTCCTTTGGTGTCTAGCCAAGTTACCGCTCTGAGAGAAGCTCTTCCCACACTCAGAACACTCATAGGGCCTCTCCCCGGTGTGGATGCGCCGGTGCTTGATGAGGGTGCAGTTGTGCTGGAAGCCCTTCCCACAGTCGGGGCATCGGAAGGGCCTCTCATCTGTGTGAATGCGCTGGTGCAGCAGGAGATGGGAGCTGGTCTGAAACCTCTTCATGCATTTATCACACTTGTATGGCCTCTCCCCGGTGTGGCTCCTCTGGTGGATGACGAGGGTGCAGTTGTACCTGAAGCCCTTCCCGCAGTCAGGGCAGCGGAAGGGCCTCTCCTCTGTGTGAGTGCGCTGGTGCTTGATGAGATTGGACTTGGTGTAAAACATCTTTCTGCATTTATCACACTCGTAGGGACCTTCCCCCATGTGGCTCCTCTGGTGTTTGATCAGGTCAGGACGCTTGCAGAAGCTCTTCCCACACTCGGGACACTTGTAGGGCTGTTCCCCTGTGTTTCTCCTCTGGTGTCTGCTCAGTTCATAGCTCCTTCTGAAGCTCTTCCCACACTGCCCACACTCGTAGGGCCTCTCCCCCGAGTGGATTACCATGTGGATGATCAGGCCGGAGCTATGGCTGAAGCTCTTCCCACACACCCCACATGTATAGGGCCTCTCCCCTGTGTGGCTCCTCTGGTGTTTGATCAGGTCAGGACGGTTGTAGAAGCTCTTCCCACACTGGGGACACTCATGGGGCCGTTCTCCCGTGTGGATCCTCTGGTGTCTGCTCAGTTCAGAGTTCCTCTTGAAGCTCTTCCCACACTGCCTACACTCATAGGGCCGTTCCCCAGTGTGGATTCTGCAGTGGATGATCAGGGAGGATCTCTTACTAAAGCTCTTCCCACATTCCGAGCACTTGTGGGGCTTCTCCCCATCCTGAACCTGCTCATGGACCCCCAGCTCCGAGCTCCGGTCGCCTCCCAGGCCCAGGGTGGATCTTTCCTCCTCAGATCCCGGTGATCTGCGTTTGCAGCCCCTCCTCATGCGGGATCTCCGGGGCTTTTCTTCCCCATTGGGTTCCTGTGCTGTGGAGCTGCACAAAATGGCCTCTTCCACGAGGTTCTGCTGTGGGGATTTGTCCTCCCTGCTCTCCATCCTCAGCTCCTGCTCTGGGGGAGGAAGGACAAGTAGAGGATGGGATTTGCCTCCGTGCCACAGGGAAGGGCAAGGAGATCCCCCCAGCGCATCCCCAGCAGGACAGCTTTGGCAGCAGGGTTGTCCTGCAGCCGGGGGCCATGCTGGGCTGGGAGATGGAGCAGGAGAGAGGGGGAAACGGGCACTGACTTCCTCCTCACCTGCCTGGGGCTCCCGGGCCATCTTCCTCTTCCTCATGGCCTCCTCCTTTTTCATCCTGCCGAGGTTTGGGAATAACGAATCCTGGTCTGGGGGGAAAAACAAGGCTTACTGAATTGGCTTTGATGGTCCCGCTGCCTAAGTGCAGCTGGAGAAGTCAGTGTCCCTTTCAGCCTCGGGGGGCCCGGAGCCTGCTCATCCCCAGCCTCCCGCACCCCTCCAGGCAGCCGGTTTGTCCCCCGGCTCCGGGATCGCCCCTCTGCGCTCTCCCCGCTCCGGGGCTCCCGCATCCCCCCCCGGCTCTCCCGGGCGTCCCCAAACTCGAGATCGCCCCTGGGCCCGCCGGTACCGGGTGATCGCAACGTGGGACCCCCCCCAAGATCCCTGCAGGGGCATTTCCGGCCGAGCTTTGGCGTCCCACCAAACATTCCCTGCCTTGCAAAAAAAACATCCCGGAGACCCCTCCGATGGATTTGGGGCGAGCTCCCCCAGCCCGCTCACCTGCGGGTTCCGGCTGAGCGGGCGATGCTGGCGGATCCGGGAGAGCGGCGGGCTGAGCGGGGAAACCGCAGGGTGTTGGTGCTGCTCTTCCTCCTCCTCCTCCTCCTCTGTCCCTCCTCTTCCTCCCACTCCTCCTCCGCTCCCAGCCCGGCCCGGGCTATGCAGACCCCCCAAAGCAGCCGCGCTCTGACCTGGGCGGGTTTCACAGCGGGCCCGTCCCGCGCGGCACTGGGAGCGATCCTGGGATCAGCGGGAAGGAACTGGGAGCGCTTTCCCTGCCAGTCCCGCTCTTACTGGGAGCACTGGGAGGGAACTGGGAGCAAACAGAGCCCCGAGGCGGCTGCAGCCGGCGGTGGGCGGGGCCAAACCGCAGGGAGTGGTTATGGAAATACGGGAGCGATCGCGCTCTGGGATTGGTGGGCGGGAGCAGCGCGGGGTTTACTCGGTTATGTGAGGGCCGGGAGGGGCCGGAGCGATGGCGGCGGCGTGCGGTGAGAGGGGACAGGGAGCGGGAATGGGGACAGGGACCGGGGATGGGGACAGGGAATGGAGATAGGGACCGGGGATGAGGACAGGGACCGGGGATGGGGATGGGAATGGGGACAGGGACTGTGAATGAGACCTGGGATGGGAATATGGGAACGGCAGGGGGAACATGGAAACAGCAACCGCAGAGAGAATATGGGCTGGGGATTGGTGCTCCAAAGTGTCCCAGTGAAAGCCAGCAGGGGCTGTGAGCTCTGCAGCTGGGCCTCCCCTGCGCTGCTGCGGCCCAGGGCCCAAGGGCGGGAGCTGCAGCTGCGCTCCTGTCTCAAGAACAGGAGCCTCCTCCAGGCCCATGGCCCCTGCATGGCCCCAGCGTGAGGGAGGGCTCTGAGGCACAGCGGCTGCTGGCAGGAGGGGCTGCTCCGGCCAGCCGGGGGCCTCTGAGAAATGCCCAAAGCCTTGTGCTCTCTGCAGCTGGCCAAGGACAGCAGCAGGGCTGAACGTTTCGTGTGGCACAGCCGGCCCGAGCTGTGCAGCCCTCAGGGCCCCATGGGAGAGGCGGCCCTCGGGAATGGGACCGGGAGTACGGGACTGGGACCAATGCTGGGATCAGGCATGGATACAGGGACAGGAAATACGGGACTGGGGACAAGGACATGAATGGGGACAGGGACCAGGACTAGGACCAGGAATGTGGGAGAGGGACCTGGAATGGGACCAGGAATGGGAATATGGGAACAGGACAGGGAATACAGGAATGGAAATCTCAGAGGAACTTTGGACCAGGAATAGGAACAGGACAGGGAATGTGGGACAGAAACAGAAATTGAGACCGGGAGTGGGATTCACGCTGGGGTGGGAGCACAACGTGTCCCAGAGCAGGGTGACATGGGAATGGGAGGGAGAGAGGGATCCTGCACAGGGGACACCGGGAACTGAGACCGGGGGACATGGGGACAGTCCTGGGCCAGGGGCTCCTTGATCAGCTGCCCCAGAACCTCCACCGGGGTCTCCCAGTGCAGCTGGAGCTGCTCGGCCTGAGGTGCCCAAAGGCCTGAGCAACCCCCAAGTCCCTCCAAGGAACCCTCAGCTCCCTCAAACCCAGCATCCCCCACATCCCCTGCAAGATTCCCCCATGTCCCCATTCTTGCCTTGGTTCAACATCTTTATTTTTACCCAGTTTTTAGGTTTTTTGAAAGGACAAAGAGAAATTAAAAGACAATCATGGGTGCAGGGAGCCAGGATGAATTGGAGCCCCCCAAGCAGGTGTCTTCCCAACATGGATCACCAGCACCAAGGATCACCGGGGCTCTGCCCACCTCGGGTCACTGGGGATCATCCAGCGTGGACTGTCCCATGGGGGATGGAGCTGGAGCAGTGCACGGAGCTCTTCCCACACTCAGGGCACTCACAGGGCTGCCCTTAGTGGTGCCTCCATTGGTGTTGGGTCAAGGCTGAGCTCTGGCAGAAGCTCTTCCCACACTTGGGACACTCATGGGCCTGTGACATCACAAGGAGCGGAGATGGATGTCAGGCACCCACCAAAGCTGCTCTCAATCCCTTCCAGAGATGGAGAGGAGAGAAAATAGAATGAAATCTTCATGGGTTGAGTTAAGGACTGGGACAGATCACTCAGCAAATGCCATCATGGGCAAAACAGTTCAAAATTAGAGACATTAATTGAATTTATTACTATCAATCAGAGCAGGATAGTGAGAAGTAAAATGAAGTTTTAGAAACACCTTCTGCCCCTCCCTCCCAGTTCTGCCTCCTCCCCCAGTGGTGCAGACAGACAGGCATGGGGGTTCTGCTCAGTTCATTCCTGTTATTTCTCCTGCTGCTCAAGGAGAGGAGTTGTTCCCCTGCTGCACCATGGGGTCCCTGCTGGAGACACTTCTCCATGAACTTCTCCAAGGTGAGTTCATCTCAGGGACAGCAGCTCTTCACAAACTGCTGCAGCGTGCCTCACTCTCCCATGGGCTCACGTGGACAGACCCTGCTCCAGCATGGGCTCCTCTCTCCATGGGTTTGCAGGCCCCTGCCTGGTCCCTGCTCCAGCACAGGTTTCTCATGGGGTCACAGCCCCTGCTCAGGCACCCCCTGCTCCAGCACGGGCTCCTCCAGGTGCTGCAGGTGCATCTCTGCTCTCCGTGCCCTCCATGGGCTGCAGGGGCTCAGCTGCCTCCCCAGGGGCTGCCCCAGGGAATCTCAGGGCAATCAGCTCCAGCCTCTGGAGCAGCTCCTGCCCCTTGTCCTGCCCTGCCCTGGGGTGTGCAGAGTTGTTTCTCTCTCACATGTTCTCACCCTGGTCACAGCTACAACTACATGATAACCGATTTTCATAAATCTCTTATCCCAAAGGTGGTACCACCATTTCTAATGGGCCCAACCTTGGCCAGTGGCTGGTCTGTCCTGGAGCTGGCTGGAATTGCCCCTGTGGGACGTGGAGGAGCAGCTGCTTCCATCATCCTCTCACAGAAGGTGCTCCTAGGGCCCCCTCTTACCAAAACCTGGCCATGCAATCTTAGTATAAATATGGTCGGGTTTTATTACCATTATTCATTCTTATTATTCCTATTTTGGCTACTTTTGCTCTTAATATTACAGTTACTACTAGTATTTTTTAATCTTTTTGACTCTATATTAAGAGTGTCTTTAGTAGAACTTGAAACAAGAGTTCTTAATTGCAAGTAGAAGTTATCCTTTTTCCAGCCTCTTGCCCTGCCCTGTTCTGTGTCATTGCTGTGTGTGAAGCTGCTGCTGCCAGGGCTCCCCATTTCCCTGGTTTGGGAAATTTGATGGCATTGTTCACATGTCAGAAAGAGAGGGCTCATTCCAATCAAATGCATTGCCTGAACTCTTCTAGTCCCAGCTGTTGGAACCTTGTTTTGTAATGTTGTTGACTTTCCCAGTATCTGTTAATATTTGTGATTTTATGACAAAATGTTCTTGGATGTGATTTTGCAAAATTCTGTAGTCAGCTTTCAGTTTGCTCTGGGATTTCTTAATGGTGTGTCAGAACTGAATGCAGCATTTTGGGTAGTGTGAAAAACAACTTCAGTCTCCTTTGAAAATTTAAAAAGTGTAATAAAGGACAATAGGAGACAGGGACCATAGAGCAAAGGGTATTCTGGCCAGGTGCACCTTGGCACTCAGGCAAGACCACCCTGTTAACTTTGGGGATACCCCTTAAATACCTTTTCCATTACATCAGCCTGTTGCATATTCATAGATCCTTATGCATAGTAAACTTTTCCCCCAAACTAGTTTACATGTTCCAAGAGTTATTTAGCATGGCTCCTCCTTGGGTTCACCTTTTTAGAGCATGCAGATTCCTTGGTTGTGGTTTTAGTCCTTTTTTATCACCTCCAGTTTTTGGGTCTTGGTTCCCACTGTCTTCATACAGTGAGTGCTGGTATTTGACATACCTGTAGCAGGTGTCCTCATCCTATGTTCATTGGATGTTATCCCATCCAAGCAGGCATTTTAACACAAGCATGGCTATTTCACTTCTATGTCTAAGCTTAATTAACAAGAGAAAGAAAAACCGTATAACAAAGTTAGTTTAACTTTACACATATAAAATCCATTTTTTATTGGCAAAAGCCATTATTATAATATGTATCTCTAACAGGTGGGAAGCCTTCACTCAGAGCTAGCATTGTCTCAGCAGCAGCTGGTTTTGCACTTGCAAGCAGAGATAACAAAGATTCCATGAGCTGAATGTTCCGCCTAGTTGCGGAACCTCCAGTGGTGGCTGGAGCCAGCTGCCCTGGGAGATGCAGGTGGTGCCGGGCGGGCAGTGGCCGGAGCCCATGGCAGGGGCTGGCCATGGACACTGACCCTGGGCTGAGCAGGGGCTCGGGGCCCTGCGGCGCCGGGCGCTCGGGGCCCGCTCACACTGGGATCCTGCGGGAGCCGGGAGCAGCGAGAGAGCCCGGGCCAAACATCAGCACCCATGATGATTTAAAAATTTAGGATTTTAGCTGAGAGTTAGAACCAGTTCATATTGAAGTTAGATAAACCAACAATAGGTTAATGATTATTAGATGCTTAAGCTAAAGCTAATTGTTATATTATGAGCTCATTTGTTGAAGGAAGTGGAGGAAGTGAACCATTATAGGAGCATATTGAAACCAGTAGAACAATGCCCAGCACCTGGACTCTGTGTCAATCCATCAGCAAGCAGGGGGCCTTGGATCGTGCCAGAGGGTCACAGGGACCTGACCAAGACCTTCCTGTCTTCTTCCCTGGGACCACTGACCCAATTCAAGACCACCAACCCAATTCAAGAAAAGAAATGTGCACTCATGAAGGACTAAGAACCTCATTTTAGTACAAAGTGTTATAAATGAGAAGCTTGACTAGGTCAATATTCAAGCAGCAATCAATTTATTAATAATTATGGTAAAGTATGAGCAATACAGCACTGGGTACAGTGGGGGAAGTTTTCCCTCCAACTGCACACTGATAGATGAGGCTTACAGGTATTTATAGGGGTACTCATAAGCTTTCTCAGCAGTTTCTATTCCCAGTTTTTACTCATCAGCAGTTTCTATTTCCAATGTTTACTCATCGGCAGTTTCTACTTCCAATTTTTACGTCACAATTCTATACACTGTTGTGATTTAGTTTTTCTCAGGATGTATCCTAGGAAGGAGTATCTCCAGATAATGGTGGTCCGGCTTCCGAAAGAAGAAAAAAATATCCCAGCTGACGGGGTTCCAGTTTCCAGATGTGTGTCCACCTTTTAATTGCAAGGACTATAAATGTCATAACAGTGATGTGCAGCTTCCCTTGGTCGACACTATTAATCATTGAGTTGATATTCATCTTCCTTTCTCAAGCTGCTTTTCACTGTTTTGTTAAGGCGTGAGATAAGCATGTTTCCTTTTTATATGTTCTAAAGCTATAGTTTCAAAGATCCTTACTACAAGCAATATTCTAAAATTATACTACAAAAGGTGTCCTGGTTTAGGGCAAATTTGTTAAAGAATCTGCAAAGGAGGGCCCCTCCAGAAAGCAAACCCACACGGCCCCTCCCCCCAACTGGTTCGGGAATAATTCCTCGGAGAGAAGTGGAAAGAACCTGTTTATTGACAGGCACAGCACCCCCCAGCACACAAAATGAACAATACCCGATGACACCGCTCTGAGAAAGATGACAAAATCAGAAAGTCTCTTTCGGGGGTGGTTGCTCTGTTCTCAGTCCCTCCGGCGCTGGGGCAGCTGCTGCAGCCAAACGGTGCAAATCCTCAGTGTTCCCAGGTCCCAGTCCGGAGCAGGTTCGAGGTGGTCGAAGAAAAGGAGAGGAGAAACAGTCCAAGAAGGAATTTGGACTGTTTAGCTAGAGCTAGCTAATAAGCAGAGGCCAAAGCAGAGCAGAAGCAAGAGCAGAAAAGAGAGCAAGCAAAGCAGCAAGCCGAAAGCAAGAAGTGAAAACAGCCCTATGTACTGCCCGTCTCTGTGTCCCTGATAAGAGAAACCCAAACAAAACTTCCACTCTTCAGAGCCGTTCTTAAAGGCACAGAACAGATGAATGGGGATACAAGCATCATAACGTCACCTCAGGACATTCCACCCCTTATCCCCATATCATCAACATACTACAACACATCATGCATTATTCATACAAAATTTCTATCTGTTCCCTCAAAATTTACAAGCAATACCCATCATGCCTTCATCACATTCCCACACTGGATCACTGAATCCAGGCCCTATATTATAAAGCTGCGGGATTCCCCCCTTTTACTTTACTCACTTAAAGCTCCATCTATCACTTGCTCAGACCTTCAACACTTACACATTTCCTTCTCCATCTTCCACTTGCCCAGACCTTCAACACTTACACATTTCCTTCTATCTCATGTCTGTATGGTTTAATGTACAGACAATGGCAGCAACATCCAATGAACAGTGATATTGCATATCATTCTTACCCCACAATCAGATCTCCCTGAGGTACACATCGTGTCGTTCCATCTCTTTGCATTATCCACCACGTGCAACCTGGTCCCTGAGCAAAGACAACCCCACGAATGGGTTTGTCTGTACTCGAGGCAGAATTGATCCACACAGTCTTCCCTAACAAATCTCTGATATGTACCACTGGGACTTTGTCCCCTTCTATTATATTCAGGGACTCAGACTGGGCAGGACCTGCTCGGCTGGTGGAACCTCGGGTGTTAACTAACCAGGTGGCCTTTGCTAAATGCTGCTCCCAATTCTTGAAAGATCCCCCACCCAAAGCTGTCAACTGGGTTTTTAGTAGTCCATTGTACCTCTCCACTTCTCCTGCAGCTGGTGCATGGTAGGGGATATGGTACACCCACTCAATGCCATGTTCCCTAGCCCAGGTGTTGGTAAGGCTGTTCTTGAAATGAGTCCCGTTGTCTGACTCGATCCTCTCAGGGGTGTCATGTCTCCACAGAACTTGCTTTTCAAGGCCCAGGATGGTGTTCCGGGCTGTAGCATGAGGCACAGGGTGGGTTTCCAACCATCCAGTGGTGGCTGCCACCATGGTCAGCATGTAGCGCTTGTCCTGGCATGTCTGGGGCAGTGTGATGTAGTCAATCTGCCAGGCCTCCCCATACTTGTACTTGGACCACCGCCCACCGTACCAGAGGGGCTTCACTCGCTTGGCCTGCTTGATGGCAGCACACGTCTCACAGTCATGGATAACCTGAGAAATACTGTCCATGGTCAGATCCACCCCTCGGTCTCGTGCCCTCTTATAGGTGGCATCTCTGCCCTGGTGGCCTGAGGCATCATGGGCCCATCGAGCTAGGAATAACTCTCCCTTATGTTCCCAATCTAGGTCTATTTTGGACACCCCTATCTTTGCAGCTTGGTCTACCTGCTCGTTGTTTTGGTGCTCCTCATTGGCCCTACTCTTGGGTACATGGGCATCTA